AGAATATGCCACAATATAGTTGAAAAATCTCCCCTACAGCCACAGTTCAAGTGAAATCAAATCCCCCAAAAAGTCCAAAATATAAAACACAAATATGTCCCTCCTGTGTAATCAAAATGAAACAAATGTGTCCAAAGAAAATTATATCCTCCAAACGGTTTCCACGATGAGTGTTCCCTCAAAAAAAGAAATAACACATAGTGCATTATCTTTTTACAACTTAAACATTAATAAGTGACATCACTCTGGTGAGTATAGCACAAGTAAAACTTTCCAGTGAAAAATGAGTGAAAAAATGTGAAACAAACAGTGAAAACACTGTGTATGTGAATCACTCTTCAGTGCCCAAAAGCAAGCAAACACAGTGTGCACTTCTAGTTGGAATAAGGGGTAGGTACCCTTACCAACAATCCAAAATAATCACGCCTTTAATGTTATCCAATAAATGGTGAAAAAATGGCCCTCCTGTAGATCTCCACAAGGTATACACAACCTCCACGGCAATACCTGGATTCATCAACCATAGTACTCCAGGTGTTCCCATACACATTGTTCCATCCAGATGCACATATATGAAGGATAAGAATAGTGTAATACCGCCAAGATAACTGAATCAATAAGCTTTAATAAAACTGGGGGTATCCCTTATGATTAAGTCGATGACGAAATGCGTCAAGGGAAGTGATGCCAGACGTGTACGGGAACCGGAAGTACACCGGTGGCCATTTTGGAAAGTGGAAAGGAGCACCTGAAAGAGCCTGGACATTTCCTGGATGGCAGAAAGGTTATATCATATATACTAAGCGGTTTTAAAGGCTGTAATAATGTGAGCAGTTTTATTAAATCTTATTGATTCAGTTATCTTGGCGGTATTACACTATTCTTATCCTTCATATATGTGCATCTGGATGGAGCAAGGTGTATGGGTATAACTTGGAGTACTATGGTTGATGAACTGCGATTTTGCAAGTTCTCCCACTTAAAAATCATGGAGGGGTCTGAAATTCACATTGTAGGTGCATTCCCACTCTGAGAGACAGAATTAATAAAAACAATTCAGGAAATCACATTGTATGATTTTTAAAGAATTTATTTGTCTTGCACTGCTGAACATAAGTATTTGAACACCTAAGAAACAGCAAGAATTCTGGCTCTCAAAGACCTGTTATTGTGCCTTTAAAAAGTCCACCTCTACTCCACTCATTAATCTAACTTAGTATCACCTGTCTGAGCTCTTTAAAGACACCTGTCCACCCCACAGTCAGTCAGACGCCAACTACTACCATGGGCAAGACCAAAGAGCTCTCAAAAGACACCAGAGAAAAAATTGTCAACCTCCACAAGGCTGGAAAGGGCTACGGGGCAATTGCCAAGCAGCTTGGTGAAAATAGATCAACTGTTGGAGCAATTGATTGAAAATGGAAGAGGCTAAAGATGACTATCACTCTCCCTTGGACTGGGGCTCCATGCAAGATCTCACCTTGTGGGGTATCACTGATGATAAGAAATGTGAGGAATCAGCCAAGAACTACAAGGGAGGAGCTGGCCAATGACATGAAGAGAGCTGGGACCACAGTTTCAAAGGTCACTGTCGGTAGAACACTACGCTGTCATGGTTTCAAATCATGCATTGCACGGAAGGTTCCCCTGCTCAAGTCATCACATGTCCAGGCCCGTCTGAAGTTTGCCAATGACACAAAACTGTTTCAGTGTAGCAATATTCTTGGGATGTCTGGTGTGAATCGCTCTCTTAAGGTCATGCCACAGCATTTCAATCGGGTTGAGGTCAGGACTCTGACTGGGCCACTCCAGAAGGCGTATTCTGTGCTGTTGCAGCCATTGTTTTGTTGAATTACTTGTATGCTTTGGGTCATTGTCCTGTTGCATCACCCATCCTCTGCGGAGCTTCAGTTGGCGGACAGATGGTCGTACGTTTTCCTGCAAAATGTCTTGATAAACTCTGGAATTTATTTTCCCATCAATGACAACCATCCGTCCAGACCCTGAGGCAGCAAAGCAGCCCCAAACCATGATGCTCCCTCCACCATGTTTTACAGTGGGGATGAGGTTTTGATGTTGGTGTGCTGTGCCTTTTTTTCTCCACACATAGTGTTGTGTGTTCTTCCCAAACAACTCAATCTTGGTTTCATCTGTCCACAGTATATTTTGCCAGTAGTGCTGTCGAACATCCAGGTGCTCTTTTGCAAACTTCAAACGTGCTGCAATATTCTTTTTGGACAGCAATGGCTTCCTCCGTGGTGTCCTCCCATGTACTCCATTCTTGTTTAATGTTTTCCTTATTGTAGATGTGTCAACAAAAATGTTAGCATGTGCCAGAAATTTCTGTAGGTCTTTAGCTGACACTCTGGGATTCTTCTTTACCTCATGCAGCATTCTGCGCTGTGCTCTTGCAGTCATTTTTACAGGACGACCGCGCCTAGGGAGAGTAGCAACAGTGCTAAACTTTCTCCATTTGTAGACACTCTGTCTTACCGTGGACACATGAACATCAAGGCTTTTTGGAGATACTTTTGTAACCCTTTACAGCTTCATGCAAGTCAACAATTCTTGACGTAGGTCTTCTGAGAGCTCTTTTCCGCGAGGCATGGTTCACATCAGGCAGTGCTTCTTGAAACCAGTAAACCCAAAACAGGTGTGTGTTTTTTTAAGGGCAGGACAGCTGTCAGCAACACATCCAATATCATCACACTGATTGGAGTCAAGGTTGGCTCACTCCTGGCTCCAATTGACTCTGGGAGAAGTCATTAAGCTACGGCTTCACATACTTTTTCCTCCCTGCACTGTGAATGTTTACATGTTATGTGCAATTAAACCATGGCAACATCTAATGTTTGTGTAGTATTATGTTCAGCAGACTGTGTTCTTCTATTGTTGTGACTTAGATGACGTTCAGAGCACATTTTATACCCAATTCATGCAAAACTCCACGTAATCCCAAGGGGTTCACATACTTTTTCTTGCAACTGTATGCTTAGGGCTCCACTTATAGGAGGCTGCTAAGCCCAAGGCAAACACATGGCCATTTCCTGGTCATCCCAACTTCTGTAGAAATACTTGTTGTGTAATTCAATGGGTGGAAGTGTTTGCAGAGGCCTGGGAGACACCCAGGCTGCTGTCATAAGATTTCACTTTTGTTTGAACTTTTAAATCCCTTCTTAAGTACTTCCCTGGATACTGTAAAACAATTGACATCAAATTCCACATTCAAACCTTTAGGTATCAAGGTTTTGAGCTCAAAAATCCATCGTGACTCTGCTTTACTCAAAGTTTTAATTTTATCGCTCCCTCTCCAATCTTTTTTGTATTTTTCTATGCCCCAAAATTGCATGTTTGATGGGTCACTATTATGGTGGTCTTTGAAGTGCAATGAAAAATTATGCTTGGATAAAAACCTCTTAGTATATTATAGACATGTACTTTTATTCTTTTGGCTAGAGTCCTTTTTGTCCCACCAATGTACTGTAACAAGGACATGGCATAAACCACCAACTCCATTTGGCATTATACAATCCTTTATCTCATACTTTTTACCAGTGACATATGATATTGTGGATTTACTACATGCATAACATCTGCCACATGCATAAAATCCTTAATATCAGCAGAAGGCTAATGTGTTCTTTCTAGGGGGGTCTATAAAATGTTTTACTATCCTATTGCAAAGTATAGGGGCTTTCTGATATATACAGTAAATTTGGGTAGGTATGCTAACACAGTTTTTAATCTGTTCCCGCCTGGCCTATGGTAAACTGATGGTCGCGTGGGCCTCTTGTCCCTCCGGGAGGGCATCATATGATGCCCTCCTTGTCATGCCCCTTGAGTGTGCCCCAGTGGCTCGCAGCATGCCGATCTCTCATCTGCTGTATCCCATGGAAACAGCACTTCCTTGATGTAGGTAAACAACCAATAAAATTGGCTGTTTACCATGTGATTGCCTGTGTACTGTCACAGCCCATCACAAATGTAAACAAACAGTGGTAACTTGCTGTTACCGCTTTTCCTCCTCGCACTTGGATCCTGTGTGAGAAGGAGAAGGGAAACAGTGAGTTACAGCATACAGTACTGTGCACCACACTGCCCTGATTGCTTTGACACTGCCCTGATTGCCTGTCACAGCTGCCCATCCATGTACCTGTCACATCTGCCCATCAGTGTACCTGTCACAGCTGCCCATCCTTGTACCTGTCACAGCTGCCCATCCGTGTACCTGTCACAGCTGCCCATCCGTGTACCTGTCACAGCAGCCCATCCGTGTACCTGTCACAGCAGCCCATCCGTGTACCTGTCACAGCTGCCCATCAGTGCACCTGTCACAACTGCCCATCAGTGCACTTGTCACAGCTGCCCATCCGTGTACCTGTCACAGCTGCCCATCCGTGTACCTGTCACAGCTGCCCATCAGTGTACCTGTCACAGCTGCCCACCTGTCACAGCTGCCCATGTGTGTACCTGTCACAGATGCCCATCCGTGTACCTGTCACAGATGCCCATCCGTGTACCTGTCACAGCTGCCCATCAGTGTACTTGTCACCAGCCGATCAGCGTACCTGTCACCAGCCCATCAGCTTACCTGTCGTCGGTCCAACAGCGTACCTGTCACTAGCCCAACAGACCCAAAGAAAACCTGTCGCCTTTTTGGCAGCGTACCTGTCTCTAGCCTGTCAGAGTACCTGTGAGCACAGCCCATCACATACCTGTCAGCACAGCCCATTGGAGTACCTGTTGTACAGCCCATCACGTACCTGTCAGCACAGCCCATCAGTGTACCTGTTGTGCAGCCTGTCAGTGTACCTATTAGCACAGCCCGTCAGCGTACATGTCAGCACAGCCCATCACATACCTGTCAGTACAGCCCTTCAGTGTACCTGTCAAGCAGCCTGTCAGCACAGACCATCAGTGTACCGTCAGTACAACCCATCAGCGTACCTGTCAGTACAGCCCATCAGAGTACTTGTCAGTACAGCCCATCAGTGTACCTTTCAGTACAGCCCATCAGTGTACCTGTCAGCACAGCCCATAAGCATACCTGTTAGTACAGCCCAGGGGCGGACTGACCATTTGGAAACTCGGGCACTGCCCGAGGGCCCGGGGTCAGTAGGGGGCCCCATGAGATGCCCCGGTACCTTTTTTATAGGCTTTTTTGAGTTTGGGCAAGGACACAGGGGCCCCATGATCCCCTATTGCCTCGGGGGCCCCATGAGTTGTAAGCCTGCCCCTGATACAGCCCATTACAGTACCTGTCAGCACATCCATCAGGGAAGTCTATCAGTGCAGCCTGTCAGTGTACCTGTGATCAGTGCAGCCTAATCAGCGTACCCATAACAGCCACCATCACTGCCGCCCATCAGCAGCGTACCCATCACAGTTGTCTGTCATACAGCCAAGATATCAACAAAATATTTTACTAGTGAAGAGGTTTTCACAATCCTCAGCATGACGGATGAGAGCAATGGAGAGCTCTCACCGTCCGATTCTGATTTGGAATACAAGCCAGTAGAAAGCAGTGGATCGGTGACCAAATCAGAAGAGGAAGCATTCCCTCCTAAAAGAGTAAGACGCTCTGAAGAGCAGGCAACAATGAGCAGCGCCAATGTACCAGCACCATTACACCCAAATGGGGGCAATCGGCAAATGCCAATGGAGCTAGACCCCAGGATGAAGGGCCCAGTGCCAGCACTAGAATATCACGCTAGACTCCAAGAGTCAGGGCCCAAACATACTTCCCAGATGCTCTGGCAAACCCTTTATGGCTGCATTCCAGCTCAGGATCAGCTACAGTCCCCCTTTTCACAACCAGGCATGCAGCCCAACATAGAAAACTTTTCCCTGACTGATCTTTTAAATTTATTTTTCCCTGATAATTTCCTTCAATTTATTGTGGATCAGACTAACCTGTTTGTCCAACAATATATTGCAGACAACCCCAATTCATGCTATGCTCGTCTATTTGAATGGAGACTGCTAACAGTAGAGGAGTTTAAATTGTTTTGGGGCCTTACGGTCAACATGGGGCTTGCAAAAAAAAAAAAATTACATTCATATTGGTCCACCCACCCCATCCATTACATTCCCATCTTTTCCACTTTTCCAAAAGGGGCATCTCATTTACTTAGACAATTACCCAAGCCTGCCCCTTTTCCGTCACCAGTACCTTAAGAAAACTATGGAGATAGGAGAGATGTTTACGCTCTGTCCACCATACACAATGACACCATGGTGGAAATTCACGGGAGACGAGGTCCCATCTGAAAGCCAGAGTGTATCTACAATTACAATCGATTTATGGGGGGGGAGTGGATTTAAATAATAAGATGCTACAGCCCTATTTATCAACAAGGAAGCCCCTCTTCTGATATAAAAAATTTACAATATACTTTTTACACATGGCCATTTTTAATGCATACATCACCTATCAAAAGTCAATGGAAAGACCTACCACCTTCCTAAAATTTAAAGAAAATGTCATCACTGCCCTAATCTATCAGCAAGGATCTCCACCACAAATAATTTGTTCCGATTGTGTCAGCAGACTTCATAAGCACCATTTCCCTGAGAACATTTCAGCATCAGAAACAGGAAGAAGATGCCAAAAAAAAATGTAGGGTATGAAACAGAGGGTGAGTAAGGAGAGACACCAGTTTTCATTGTCCCCAATATCCCTCCCAACCAGGCCTATGAATCGGAGGCTGCTTCCGACGTTATCACACGTTAGTAAAATATTAATTCCCAATATTTTTAACAGCCTGCAATTTCCCCATTTTTATTATCTGTACTGATCTTTTGCCTGCTGCCTTGATTGACCATGCCTCTGTCTTTAGCCTTAACTGACCCTGGCCTGTTTACCGACAATGCTTCTGTTTGCCGTCTGGATTGTTTCTAAACCACATTTCTGCCTTCTACTTGAACTGACCCTGGCTTGTTTATCGACTATGCTTTTGCCTGCCATCTGGATTATCAACCACGTTTATGCCTTCTTCCTGGACTGATCTCGGCCTGTTAAATTGACAATGTTTTTTGCCTGCTGCTTGGATTGAACTTTTGCCCTACTACTGTAGTAGTGAGATAGTGAGATTCAAGATAACACAGGGTCTCACATGTGAGGGGCTTCAGAGTAGAGAAAAAGAGTTTTTGGTTTTTCTCTGGGTTTTGTAATTTCTGGAACAGGGTGTGTTTGTCCTGAGGCTTTGAAGAGGTTGGGTGGGACAAAGCCTCTACCCCTGTGCCCCGGTCCTACCTGACGAAGGCCCTCTGCCTACTGTCTGGACCAATACTTTGGCTGTGCTGATCATATCTCTACCTGCTGCCTGTATTGACCCAGGACAATTTATGGACCATGTTCCTGCCTGCTGCCTGGACCGACTGTTCTGACCATATCTCTGCCTGCTTCCTGTACTGACCCAGGACTTTTTATGGACCATGTTTCTGCTTGTTGCCTGGACCAATACTTTGTCTGTGCTGACCATATCTTCCCTTTCTGTTTGTACTGACCCAAAACATTTTATGGACTATGTTTCTGTCTGCTGCCTGTACTGACCCAATACATGTTTCTGCCTGCTGCCTGGATGTCAGCCTGCTGCCTGTTCTGACCCTGACTTATGTATCCACCATATTCCTGCCTGCTACCTGGGTGATTCCTGTGGCTGTTGTCTGCTCCTTGGTCCAATGCTCTCCTCTGCGGACAACTGCTCTACCAAAACCACAGGTAATCTTTTGTTTATCCTCTCTTCAGCTAGGCTGTGAAAAAGTCTCACATGTGGTATTGTCATGTTCAGGAGGAGTAGCAAAATCTATTTTTGATTATAGAAGAAATATCTTATAAATTGACAACTTTGTGTAAAAAAAATACTTTCATTTTCTTTCCACATTTTCCAAAAACATGTGGAAAAAAATTATATGTTCAAAAGACTCATTATGCCTTGCAGAATATATGAGGGAGTGTTTTCTTTCCAAAATGTGGTAATTTGTGAATGCTTGTAAATTTCCAGGTCTAAAAAAATGGATAGTTTCCGTACTAATTTCCCATGTAAGTGATATATTTTTCGAGTTAATATTGAGTCCTTATGTGAAATAGATAAGATGCTGTATATTGCCCTTCCAGATAACTATAATGTCATCTATGAATCTGAAGTAATGTACTAGATCCTCTGGTTGATGTTTATATAGTCTCTCCTCTTCCCATTTTGCCATAAATAGGTTGGCGAAACTCAGTGCGAACTTCGCACCCATCGCCACACCACTGTCCTGTTTATAAAATCTATCCTGGTACCAGAAATAATTATAATCTAGACAGAAATCCAAACACTTCAAAATATATTTTTCAGTCTTTTACACAAAGTGCAATCTCTGTCCAGGGCACATTTAGCAGCATCAATGGCATCTACATGGTCTATTATAGTGTAGAGCAGGGGTCTCCAAACTTCCTAAACAAAGAGCCAGTTTATTGACCTTCAGACTTTAGGGGGGCCAGACTGTGGCTAGCAGTTTGGAGACCACTAGTGTAAAGGGATTCCACATCACCCGTAGCGAATATTAAGGAATGTACCTATGTCACATTATTTAGTATCTGTAATAAATGCTTGGTATTTTTAAGGTATGTTCTAGTTTTTTGAACTAGTGGTTGCAAGTACTGATCTACATCTACCCTAAGCATTCATTCACCGATCCAATACCGTTAACTATTAGTCGTTCGGGTTTTTTTTTTTTAATCTTTATGGATTTTCGGGACATGATATACAATAGGAATCCTACACATATGCTACCTGTAAAACCTAATGAAAAGATACCCTCATACTTCTTTTTTCATTGGCACACGTCCCACACAGAAGTGTTCAGCTTCTAATTCTATTTGTTTGGCCATCACATAATTATTCATCACAATTCACCTCCCTCAACTGCAATGCAGTTTTCCTATACCTTCGTCTTAGGCAAATTTTGTGGACAGATTTGGTTAATTCTGGAAGAATGCAATCTCACCCAGATTTGGTTATCATGGCCAATCCTCGCCGACTCTTCTCCACCTTCAACTCTCTACTTTCGCCACCCCCACCTCCACCCAGCACCTCACTCACTGCCATTGAGATTGCCAATCACTTCAAAAACAAGATTGACACAATTCGCAAGGACATCGCCGCAACTCACACGCCTTCTCAACCCGTCCCCTCTTACACAGCTACCCCCTCATCCCCCCCCTCCCCCTCGATATAACCCGCAGGGACTTCGTCGCTGCTCAAACTCCATCCAACCCCGTTCCCCCTCATTCAGCTACCCCCTCATCACCCCTCTCCCACGGCCCCACCACTGCTCTGACCTCCTCTTCCACCCCACCCTACATTCCTCATACTGAAGCTCCCCCAACACTCCGCACCTTTGACCTTACTACCATCGAGGAAGTCTCCAAGATCCTCTCTGATGCCCGCCTCACCACCTGCCCCCTTGACCCTATCCCCTCACAACTCCTACGACCTCCCTCCCCCTCCATCCTACGCTCCCTCACCCACATCTTCAATCTCTCCCTCTCCTCTGGCACTTTCCCTTCCCCTCTGAAACATGCACACATCACCCCCATACTTAAAAAGCCCTCCCTGGACCCCAATGACCCGAACAACCTCAGACCCATCTCCCTGCTCCCATTTACATCTAAACTCCTCGAGCGCCTAGTCTACACCCGCTTATGCTCTCACCTCAATGACAACAACCTCCTCAATCCCCTACAGTCCGGCTTCCGTCCCCTACACTCCACCGAAACTACCTTACTCAAACTCTCCAACGACCTGCTAACCGCCAAAGCTAATGGCCACTATTCAGTGCTCCTACTCCTTGACCTCTCTGCGGCCTTCGACACAGTCGACCACCCCCTCCTCCTCAAAAAACTACACTCCCTCGGCCTCAGAGATTCTGCTCTCTCCTGGTTCTCATCCTACCTGTCACAATGCTCTTTCAGCATTACCTATAATGCTACCACCTCCCCCTCACTCCTCCTCTCTGTTGGAGTCCCTCAAGGGTCTGTCCTCGGGCCCCTTCTCTTCTCCATCTACACCTCAACTCATACACTCTAACGGCTTCAACTACCACCTCTATGCCGACGACACACAAATCTATCTCTCAACCCCCCACCTCACCCCCTCGGTCTCCGCCCGAATCACACACCTACTGAGCGACATATCAGACTGGATGTCACTCCACTTCCTTAAACTGAACCTCTCCTAAACCGAATTTCTTGTCTTCCCCCCAGCCCAGACACCACCCCCCATTGACTTCTCCATCACATCCAACAAGGCCACCATCAAACCCGCCCCACAGGCCAGAGTACTTGGTGTCATTAAGG